TCAGCGTCAGGGGGTCGACTTCTTCCAGACCTTCTCCCCCACCCCGAAGATGACCACTCTTCGGGTTCTGTTGCACGTTGCTGCTCAGCGTGACTACGAGCTTCACTCTCTTGACTTCAGCACAGCGTTCCTGCAGGGCAGCCTGCACGAGGAGATCTGGCTGCGCCGTCCACCTGGCTTTACTGGGTCGTTTCCTCCTGGTACCCAGTGGAGCCTCCGCCGGCCAGTCTACGGTCTCCGCCAGGCGCCACGTGAGTGGCACGACACACTGAGGACTACACTTGCGGCTCTTGGGTTCGCGCCGTCTACTGCTGACCCGTCGCTGTTTCTGCGCACAGACACGTCGCTGCCGCCGTTCTACATTCTCGTGTACGTCGACGACTTGGTCTTTGCTACTGCTGACACTGAGGCACTCGCTCGTGTGAAGTCGGAGCTGCAGAAGAGACACACCTGCACTGACCTGGGTGAACTGCGTAGCTACCTTGGCTTGCAGATCACCCGGGACAGAGCTCGCCGCACCATCACCCTGAGTCAGTCACACATGGTGCAGCAGGTCCTTCAGCGCTTCGGCTTCCAGTTCTCCTCACCACAGGCCACACCTCTGGCTACCAGCCACTCGCTCTCAGCTCCACCTCCGGACGAGTCCGTAGAGCCGAGTGGCCCGTACCCAGAGCTTGTAGGCTGCCTCATGTACCTGATGACTTGCACGCGACCTGACCTCGCGTACCCACTTAGCATCCTTGCTCGCTACGTTGCGCCTGGGAGACACAGGCGAGAGCACTGGGAGGCTGCTAAGAGGGTGCTGCGTTACTTGTGCAGTACATCAGGCATGGGGTTGGTGCTTGGAGGACACGACAGAGTTGTCCTCACTGGTCACTCGGACGCTTCTTGGGTGGACGACCTGGCTACGCAGCGGTCGTCACAGGGTTACACCTTCAGCCTTGGCTCTGGTTCTGTCTCGTGGCGGTCCACCCGCTCTTCTTCTGTTCTCGGCTCTAGTTGTGAGGCTGAGATCTACGCCACAGCCATGGCTGCACAGGAGTTACGCTGGCTCACCTATCTGCTGACTGACTTGGGAGAGCGGCCTAGTTCTCCTCCAGTTCTGTACGGTGACAACAAGGCAGCTCTTGCCTTGTGTCAGGAGCACAGACTGGAGCACAGGACGAAGCACATTGCTCTTCGCTACTTTCTTGCTCGAGAGCTTCAGCAGCGCGGTCAGCTTCGGCTTGTGTACGTGGACTCGAAGGCCAACACTGCTGATATCTTCACCAAGGCACTCCCGCCTAGTGATCATCAGCGACACTGTACTTCTTTAGGCCTTGTGTCCACATTCCCTCATTTGCTTACTGCTTGACTTTCTTTGTACTGTACTTTATATATATCTTGTTGCTTGCTTGCTAGATTTTGATCACTGTGTTGTTTGTCTTGTACTATATCTAGCACTGCATGTGAACTGGCCTTGTGGCCTTTGCTTGTGCTCGGAGTGTGGTGACGTTGTGATCCACCCTGGGCTTGCGTTGCCTTGCTGGACTGGTCTTGTGACCCTTTGTTCTCCCCCACTTTGCCTATGGGGGTGTGTTAAATTGTAATGTGTTATATGTTGGTAGGCTGTAGTGGGGTAGCCAATATGGGGTACAACCCCAACTAGGGTTTGCTACTTGTACCCAACTGTTTCATTCAATGCAGTCATTCTTGCCTAGTTCTTCTAACATATAGGCGTAGGGAAAAGCATTCAACAACCCAAATGTTAATGCATATTCGAGTGGCCCATGTTCAATCACACCTACTAGAGCCTTTTCGGCCAGGTTCTTGCGCAGAGAAAAGTTCGGCGCCGACGATTTCGGCTGTTTTTGCCGCCAAATGCTCAGAAAGCGCATGAATCCCTATAGGCGTAGGGAAAAGCATTCAAAAACCTGAATATTAATGCATATTCAAGTGTCCCATGTTCAATCACACCTACTAGAGCCTTTTCGGCCAGGTTCTTGCGCAGAGAAAAGTTCGGCGCCGACGATTTCGACTGCTTTTGCTGCCAAATGCTGAGAAAGCGCATGAATCCCTATAGGCGTAGGGAAAAGCATTCAACAACCCGAATGTTAATGCATATTTGAGTGGCCCATGTTCAATCACACCTACTAGAGCCTTTTCGGCCAGGTTCTTGCGCAAAGAAAAGTTCGGCGCCGACGATTTCGGCTGTTTTTGTCTCCAAATGTTCCAAAAGCGCATGAATCCCTATAGGCATAGGGAAAAGCATTCAACAACCCAAATGTTAATGCATATTCGAGTGGCTCGTGTTCAATCACACCTAGTAGAGCCTCTTCGGCCAGGTTCTTGCGCAAAGAAAAGTTCGGCGCCGACGATTTCGGCTGTTTTTGCTGCCAAATGCTTAGAAAGCGCATGAATCCCTATAGGCGTAGGGAAAAGCATTCAACAACCTGAATGTTAATGCATATTCGAGTGGCCCATGTTCAATCACACCTACTAGAGCCTTTTTGGCCAGGTTCTTGCGCAAAGAAAAGTTCGGCGCCTACGATTTCGACTGTTTTTGCCGCCAAATGCTTAGAAATCGCGTAAATCCCTATAGACGTACGGAATAGCATTCAATAACTTGAATGTTATTGTATATTCGAGTGGCCCATGTTCAATCACACCTACTAGAGATTTTTAGGCCAGGTTCTTGCGCAAAGAAAAGTTCGGCGCCGACGATTTCGGCTGTTTTTGCCGCCAAATGCTTAGAAAGCGCATGAATCCCTGTACGCGCAGGGAAAAGCATTCAACAACCTGAATGTTAATGCATATTCGAGTGGCCCATGTTCAATCACACCTACTAGAGCCTTTTCGGCCAGGTTCTTGCGCAAAGAAAAGTTCGGCGCCGACGATTTCGGCTGTTTTTGCCGCCAAATGCTCAGAAAGCGCATGAATCCCTATAGGCGTAGGGAAAAGCATTCAACAACCTGAATGTTAATGCATATTCGAGTGGCCCATGTTCAATCACACCTACTAGAGCCTTTTCAGCCAGGTTCTTGCGCAGAGAAAAGTTCGGCGCCGACGATTTCGGCTGTTTTTGCTGCCAAATGCTTAGAAAGCGCATGAATTCCCTATAGGCGTAGGGAAAAGCATTCAACAACCTGAATGTTAATGCATATTCAAGTGACCCATGTTCAATCACACCTACTAGAGCCTTTTTGGCCAGGTTCTTGCGCAGAGAAAAGTTCGGCGCCGACGATTTCGGGTGTTTTTGCCGCCAAATGCTTAGAAAGCGCATGAATCCCTATAGGCGTAGGGAAAAGCATTCAACAACCTGAATGTTAATGCATATTCGGTGGCCCATGTTCAATCACACCTACTAGAGCCTTTTCGGCCAGGTTCTTGCGCAGAGAAAAGTTCGGCGCCGACGATTTCGGGTGTTTTTGCCGCCAAATGCTTAGAAAGCGCATGAATCCCTATAGGCGTAGAGAAAAGCATTCAACAACCTGAATGTTAATGCATATTTGAATGGCACATATTCAATCACACCTACTAGAGCCTTTTCGGCCAGGTTCTTGCGCAAAGAAAAGTTCGGCGCCGACGATTTCGGCTGTTTTTCGTGCCAAATGCTTAGAAAGCGCATGAATCCCTATAGGCGTAGGGAAAAGCATTCAACAACCCAAATGTTAATGCATATTCGAGTGGCCCATGTTCAATCACACCTACTAGAGCCTTTTCGGCCAGGTTCTTGCGCAGAGAAAAGTTCGGCGCCGACGATTTCGGCTGTTTTTGCCGCCAAATGCTCAGAAAGCGCATGAATCCCTATAGGCGTAGGGAAAAGCATAAAAAAACCTGAATATTAATGCATATTCAAGTGTCCCATATTCAATCATGTTAAATTGTAATGTGTTATATGTTGGTAGGCTGTAGTGGGGTAGCCAATATGGGGTACAACCCCAACTAGGGTTTCATATTTGTACCCAAACTTCTGCTAGTTCATTCATTCTTGCCTAGTTCAGTTGACATGGTATTCAGAGCAGGAGGTCCCTAGGACCTACCGATCGTTTTTTTTTTAGGGCCCACCACCGCTCGCATGCGGTTACCACGCTACCCCGTGCCCTAGCCTCATAGCGCCCTCGTGCGCCCTCGTTAGCGCCCTCGTGCGTCCTCGTTAGCGCCCTCGCGCGCCCTCGTTAGCGCCCTCGCGCGCCTCTCGTTAGCGCCCTCGCGCGCCCTCGCTAGCGCCCTCGCGCGCCCTCCTTCGCGCCCTCGTGCGCCTCTCGTTAGCGCCCTCGCGCGCCCCTCGCAGCGTCGCCCGCCCGCCGAGCCGCCCGCTCGCAGCGTCGCCCGCCTACCGCGCTGCCCGTTTCGCAGCCCGCCCGCCGCGCTTCTCGCCCGCTTGCAGCGTCGCCCGCCCGCCCGCTGCCCGCTTCGCAGCGTCGCCCGCTCGCTCGCTGCCCGCTTCGCGGCCCGCCCGCCTCGCAGCCCGCTCGCATCGTCGCCCGCTCGCCCGCTGCCCGCTTCGCAGCGTCGCCTGCCAGCCCGCTGCCCGCTTCGCAGCGTCGCCCGCCCGCCAGCTGCCCGCTTCGCAGCGTCGCCCGCCCGCCGCGCTGCCCGCTCGCAGCGTCGCCCGCCCGCTCGCTGGCCACTCGCAGCGTCGCCCGCCCGCCTCGCTGCCCGCTTGCAGCGTCGCCCGCCCGCCTCGCTGCCCGCTTGCAGCGTCGCCCGCCCGCCCGCTGCCCGCTTCGCGGCCCGCCCGCCTCGCAGCCCGCTCGCACCGTCGCCCGCCCGCCCGCTGCCCGCTTCGCAGCGTCGCCCGCTCGCCGCGCTGCCCGCTCGCCGCGTCGCCCGCTCGCCCCGCTGCCCGCTTCGCAGCCCGCCCGCCGCACTTCCCGCCTGCAGCGCCGCCTGCCCACCGCGCTGCCCGCTTCGTAGCCCGACCCCTGCACTGCCCGCTCGCCGTGTCGCCCGCCCTCCGCGCTTCCCGCCGAGCTACCTACCTGCAGCGCTGTGGCAGCTTCCTTTGCTCTGTCGCTATGGCTTCCATCCGAGTGCTGTCGTTCGATGCTGAGGGCCGCCCTGTGAAGTTCGCCACTTGGCTGGATGACCTGCAGCTGTTCCTTCTGAGCGATAGCAAGGAGCATGTGTCGCTCTATGATTACGCGTCTGGTGCTGCACCTGCCCCTCCTGCCACAGCTGAGCTTAGTGTTCGTTCCCACTGGCAGACTCGTGATGCAGCTGCTCGCCTAGCCATTCGCAGTCACCTGCCGTTAGCTGAGCTCGAGCATTTTGGCGACTGCAAATCCGCTAAGGCCCTGTACGATGCTGTCGTTGCTCGCTACTCCTCGCCTGCCACAGCCGAGCTTAGCCGCCTCATGCTGCCGTACCTGTTCCCTGACCTGTCCACCTTTGCTACAGTCGCCGATCTTATCACCCACCTTCGCACTAGTGATGCCCGCCTTCGTGCCGCCCTTCCCACCGAGTTCTGCGCTAAGAACCCCCCTCCCCTGTACTGGACACTCCACTTCATAGTCACCCGTCTCCCTGACACCCTCAGCTCAGTTCGAGACCACTTCCTTGCTCGCTGTCCCACTGAGCTCACCGTTGCCCTCCTAGAGGAGCAGCTGCTAGCGGCCGAAAAGAGCATAGTAGCTGTCGGTGCTGCTCGTGGCGCTCCTCGCACCCCCATCTTTGAGGGGTGTTCTCCCTCTCCCCTCGCTCCCTCCTACGCTACTGCTGCTGCTGTTGACTTCCTTGGTGCTGAGTCTGCTGGCGCTGCTTCTGCTCCTAGTGGGAGGCGCCGCACCGGCAAGGGCAAAGGGGGCAAGGGTGGCGGGGGTGGCGCTGGGGGGGTCGGCGGTGGGGGAGGTGGGGGGGGAGGCGGTGCTGGAGGGAGCGGTGGCGGGAGTGCTGGTGGGAGTGGGGTCGGCAGCGGAGGCGGGGGCGGCGGAGGGAGCGGTGGCGGTGGTGGCGGCGGCGGCGGTGGCGGCGGCGGCGGCGGTGGCGGCGGCGGTGGTGGCGGTCGGAGCGGAGGTAGTGGTGGTGGCGGAGGTCGGAGTGGAGGCACCGGCTCGGGCCAGAGCTCCCAGCAGCAGCAGCGTCCCCAGACGACCCAGCAGCTTCGTGAGTGGCTTGCTCAGCGTGGGACGTCGGGGGGCAGTGGCCGCTGTTCCTATGTCATTCGCACAGGTGACCGCAAGGGACAGACGTGTGGGAGGTTCCACACCCCGTACCGCTGCTTCTCCCGCCTTGACGACGCTTGGCGTGAGGAGATGGGCGAGGATGTTGAGCGCCCCCGCTGGGCTGAGCTCATGAGGGCTGGTGTTGATATCTTTGCTCTTGACTATGATGCTATTATTGCTGCCATGTATGCATTGACTGTTAGTGCCGAGGGAGACTGTTACTTGTGTGTGCCGCCTGACCCAGGTATAGAGCCCGCTGCCCTGGGTACTAGTGAGTCTGCTCTCTCTGGTATGGTGCCCCCGGTACTTGCTCCCTCCAGTGCTGTCCCGGCTGTTTGCGAGTCTGCTCTCTCAGGTACAGCACCCACAGAGACTGCTCTCTCAGGTACCGCACCGGCTGAGGCCTGTCACACCTTCACCCTTGACTCAGGTGCTTCCCGCTGTTTCTTTCGTGACAGTACTGAGCTCACACCGCTTCCTGCACCGGTTCCAGTCTCCTTGGCTGACCCCTCTGGGGGCCCAGTCCTTGCCCAGTCCACCACTGTGCTCCCTTGTCCGGCGGTTCCGTCTGGCTCGTTGTCGGGTTTCCACCTCCCCTCGTTCTCGACGAACCTGGTGAGCAACGCTGTCATCCAGGATCAGTGGGTTGACACCTTCACCCCAGGAGGACAGCGTGTGGCGATCTGCACGTGCTCCAGGACCGGCCGTCACCTGGCTACGTTTACCCGTCGGCCGGGGTCGAGTCTCTACACACTGACCACTGCGTCTCCTCAGGTCGCTGCTGTCGGTCAGGTGTCCGCGTCAGGTCTAGTGGCCCACGCCTGTGAGTGTCGTTCCCTGTCGCACCAGACCCTTCTCTGGCACCATCGCCTGGGTCACCCCTCCCTACCACGCCTCCGTGGCATGCACCGTCGCCACCTTGTGTCTGGTCTTCCCAGGTCCCTCCCTCCCCTCCCTGCCTCGCCTGCACCGCCTTGCCTTCCTTGCGTCGAGGGGCGGCAGCGCGCCGCTCCTCACTCCTCCTCGTTCCCCCCGACAGAGGCTCCTCTGCAGACCCTCCACCTGGACGTGTGGGGCCCAGCCCGCGTTCGTGGCCAGGGCGGTGAGCGGTACTTTTTGCTGGTTGTCGACGACTACTCGCGTTACACCACGGTCTTCCCCTTGCGCACCAAGGGTGAGGTCCCTGCTGTTCTGATCCCTTGGATCCGCGCAGTTCGTCTCCAGCTCCGCCGCCGTTTCCGGACGGATCTTCCTGTCCTACGTCTGCACTCTGACAGAGGTGGTGAGTTTTCCTCCGACCTCTTGAGGGCCTTCTGTCAGGAGGAGGGCATCGAGCAGACCTTCACGCTTCCGGACTCCCCACAGCAGAATGGGGTTGCTGAGCGCCGCATTGGCCTGGTCATGGAGGTCGCTCGTACCTCCTTGGTCCACGCGGCGGCTCCCCATTTTCTGTGGCCGTTTGCTGTCCGGTACGCCGCGCATCAGCTCAACCTCTGGCCCCGTGTCTCCTTGCCGGAGACCTCGCCCACACTGCGTTGGACGGGGGAGGTTGGCGATGCGTCGCGCTTCCGGGTGTGGGGTGCTCGTGCCCTTGTCCGCGATACGTCCGCGGACAAGCTCTCCTCCCGCACACTTCCCTGTGTCTTCCTTGGCTTTGTCCCTGACGCGCCGGGCTGGCAGTTTTACCACCCCACCTCGCGCCGGGTCTTCGCCTCTCAGGACGTCACCTTTGACGAGTCGGTCCCTTTTTACCGTCTCTTCCCCTACCGCACTGCCCCCCTCCCTCCCCCGCCGCTTTTCCTTGCTCCTGGTCCCCCTCCGGTAGACCCCCTTCCCCCTCAGGGTCCTGCTCCTTCAGGTGTCTCTCAGGTAGACCCTCCTCCCGTCACTGAGCCTGTCGAGGTCACAGGTGACTCAGGTGCTGCTGCAGGTGGTGCTGCTGGGAGTGCTGAGCCTGGGGGTGCTGAGCCTGCGGGTGCTGGGCCTGGGAGTGCTGGGACTGCGGGTGCTGGAGCTGAGGGTACTGTGCCTGGGAGTTCGGCGCCTGGGGGTGCTGAGCCTGGGGGTGCTACGACTGGGGGTGCTGAGCCTGCGTGTACGGAGTCTGGGGGTGCCGAGCCTGGGGGTGCTGCTACTGAGCCTACGGAGCCTGGGGTTGCTGCGTCTGGGGGTGCTGCGCCTGGGGGTACTGAGCCTGGGGGTGCTGCTGCTGAGCCTACGGAGCCTCGGGTTGCTGCGTCTGGGGGTGCTCCGGTTCGGGGTGCTGAGCAGTCTCTCACACCGCAGCAGCTTCGTGACTGGTACGTCCGGCGCTTTCGCCGTCCTAGTGGCTCGGCTGGAGCTGGGGGTACTGGAGCTGCCGGGACTGGTTGTTCTGGGCGCACTACGACTGGAGCTGCTGGAGCTGGGGACTCTGGAGCTGGCGGTGCTAGCGGAGTTGTAGCTGCCGACTCTGGGGGTGCTCTTCCTCGCGGTGCTGCGGACCCTGGGGGTGGCGCTGCTACTGGTGCTGCGGACCCACCTGGTGGAGCTGCTGCTGGAGCTGAGGACCCGAGCGGTGGCGCTACTGCTGGTGCTGGGGACCCGGACGCTGGAGTCTCTTCTGCTTCTGGAGGCGCTGCGCGGCCGCGGCCGTACTTCGTACCGCTCCTTCAGCAGGTTCTTGGGCAGGCTCCTCCTCCTTGTCCTCCTCCCTCCGTAGATTGTCCTCCGCCTGTCCAGCCGCAGTCCCAGTTACCGCCTGCCTCGCCTCTCCCTGCTCCCTCTCCTTACACTGGTCCCACAGGAGGTCTTACAGAGCGTCGTGAGCCTGCGTCTCGTCCTGCGTCGCCTGTCCGTACTGCTCGCACTGGTCGTCGTGTCCGTCGTGAGCGTCCTCCTGCTGTCCCAGGCACTCACTACATGACTCTGCGTCCGTCCACTGCTCCTCAGCGTGTCCCTCTGCCGTCTCCTCCTGCGTCCTCTTTGCCTGCTGTTCCGGACCCTGAGTCTGACCGGTATCGTACTGAGCACCCTACTGTCACGCGTCTCCTCGCTACTGTTGTCACTGACCCTACCTTTGAGTCCTCGGCTGCGTCTGCTCTGGTCGCTGAGTTGGTTGACTTTGCTGCTGCCTGTCGTCTAGACTACGCTGCTCGCCTTGTTGCTGAGTCTGAGTCTGCGTCTGTCTGTCCTCCGTCCGTCGGGGGTGAGTGTGCTCTTGGCACGGACGTCCTTGAGGACAGGCAGGAGGACTTTGACTCTCTCGCGGCTGCTGTACCTCATCTCGTGGCCTGGTTGCTTGCCCCTGAGGGAGACCCGGATGCACTAGACATCCCCACTCCGCGCACTTACGCAGAGGCGATCTCGGGTCCCTACTCCTCTCAGTGGCAGACAGCCATGGACGCAGAGATGGCATCCTGGAAGTCCACAGGCACCTACGTCGACGAGGTTCCCCCTCCTGGGGCGAACATCGTCGATGGCATGTGGATTTTCAGGGTGAAGCGGCCGCCAGGTTCTCCGCCTGTCTTCAAGGCTCGTTACGTTGCTAGAGGCTTCAGTCAGCGTCAGGGGGTCGACTTCTTCCAGACCTTCTCCCCCACCCCGAAGATGACCACTCTTCGGGTTCTGCTGCACGTTGCTGCTCAGCGTGACTACGAGCTTCACTCTCTTGACTTCAGCACAGCGTTCCTGCAGGGCAGCCTGCACGAGGAGATCTGGCTGCGCCGCCCACCTGGCTTTACTGGGTCGTTTCCTCCTGGTACCCAGTGGAGCCTCCGCCGGCCAGTCTACGGTCTTCGCCAGGCGCCACGCGAGTGGCACGACACACTGAGGACTACACTTGCGGCTCTTGGGTTCGCGCCGTCTACTGCTGACCCGTCACTGTTTCTGCGCACAGACACGTCGCTGCCGCCGTTCTACATTCTCGTGTACGTCGACGACTTGGTCTTTGCTACTGCTGACACTGAGGCACTCGCTCGTGTGAAGTCGGAGCTGCAGAAGAGACACACCTGCACTGACCTGGGTGAACTGCGTAGCTACCTTGGCTTGCAGATCACCCGGGACAGAGCTCGCCGCACCATCACCCTGACTCAGTCACACATGGTGCAGCAGGTCCTTCAGCGCTTCGGCTTCCAGTTCTCCTCACCTCAGGCCACACCTCTGGCTACCAGCCACTCGCTCTCAGCTCCACCTTCGGACGAGTCCGTAGAGCCGAGTGGCCCGTACCCAGAGCTTGTAGGCTGCCTCATGTACCTGATGACTTGCACGCGACCTGACCTCGCGTACCCTCTTAGCATCCTTGCTCGTTACGTTGCGCCTGGGAGACACAGGCGAGAGCACTGGGAGGCTGCTAAGAGGGTGCTGCGTTACTTGTGCAGTACATCAGGCATGGGGCTGGTGCTTGGAGGACGCGACAGAGTTGTCCTCACTGGTCACTCGGACGCTTCTTGGGTGGATGACCTGGCTACGCAGCGGTCGTCACAGGGTTACACCTTCAGCCTTGGCTCTGGTTCTGTCTCGTGGCGGTCCACTCGCTCTTCCTCTGTTCTCGGCTCTAGTTGTGAGGCTGAGATCTACGCCACAGCCATGGCTGCACAGGAGTTACGCTGGCTCACCTACCTGCTGACTGACTTGGGAGAGCGGCCTAGTTCTCCTCCAGTTCTGTACGGTGACAACAAGGCGGCTCTTGCCTTGTGTCAGGAGCACAGACTGGAGCACAGGACGAAGCACATTGCTCTTCGCTACTTTCTTGCTCGAGAGCTTCAGCAGCGCGGTCAGCTTCGGCTTGTGTACGTGGACTCGAAGGCCAACACTGCTGATATCTTCACCAAGGCGCTCCCGCCTAGTGATCATCAGCGGCACTGTACTTCTTTAGGCCTTGTGTCCACGTTTCCTCACTTGCTCACTGCTTGACATTCTTTGTACTGTACTTTATATATATCTTGTTGCTTGTCTTGTACTATATCTAGCACTGCATGTGAACTGGCCTTGTGGCCTTTGCTTGTGCTCAGAGTGTGGTGACGTTGTGATCCACCCTGGGCTTGCGTTGCTTTGCTGGACTGGTCTTGTGACCCTTTGTTCTCCCCCACTTTGCCTATGGGGGTGTGTTAAATTGTAATGTGTTATATGTTGGTAGGCTGTAGTGGGGTAGCCAATATGGGGTACAACCCCAACTAGGGTTTCATATTTGTACCCAAACTTCTGCTAGTTCATTCATTCTTGCCTAGTTCAGTTGACAAATCACACCTACTAGAGCCTTTTCGGCCAGGTTCTTGCGCAGAGAAAAGTTCGGCATCGACGATTTCGGCTGCTTTTGCCGCCAAATGCTTAGAAAGCGCATGAATCCCTATAGGCGTAGGGAAAAGCATTCAACAACCCGAATGTTAATGCATATTTGAGTGGCCCATGTTCAATCACACGTACTAGAGCCTTTTCGGCCAGGTTCTTGTGCAATGAAAAGTTCGGCGCCGACGATTTCGGCTGTTTTTGCCGCCCGCCAAGTGCTTAGAGAGCGCATGAATCACTATAGGCGTAGGGAAAAGCATTTACAAACATGTATATTCATTCATATTCAAATGACCCATGTTCAATCACACCTACTAGAGCCTTTTCAGCCAGGTTCTTGCGCAAAGAAAAGTTCGGCGCCGACGATTTCGACTGTTTTTGCAGCTAAATGCTTAGAAAGCGTATGAATCACTATAGGCGTAGGGAAAAGCATTCAACAACCTGAATGTTAATGCATATTCGGTTGGCCCATGTTCAATCACACCTACTAGAGCCTTTTCAGCCAGGTTCTTGCGCAAAGAAAAGTTCGGCGCCGACGATTTCGGCTGTTTTTGCCGCCAAATGCTTAGAAAGCGCATGAATTCCTATAGGCGTACGGAAAAGCATTCAATAACCTGAATGTTATTGCATATTCGAGTGGCCCATGTTCAAACGCACCTACTAGAGCCTTTTCGGCCAGGTTCTTGCGCAAAGAAAAGTTCGGCGCCGACGATTTCGACTGTTTTTGCCGCCAAATGCTTAGAAAGCGCGTAAATCCCTATAGGCGTACGGAAAAGCATTCAATAACCTGAATGTTATTGCATATTCGAGTGGCCCATGTTCAATCACACCTACTAGAGCCTTTTCGGCCAGGTTCTTGCGCAAAGAAAAGTTCGGCGCCGACGATTTCGGGTGTTTTTGCCGCCAAATGCTTAGAAAGCGCATGAATCCTTATAGGCGTAGGGAAAAGCATTCAACAACCTGAATGTTAATGCATATTCGAGTGGCCCATGTTCAATCACACCTACTAGAGCCTTTTTGGCCAGGTTCTTGCGCAAAGAAAAGTTCGGCGCCGACGATTTCGGCTGTTTTTGCCGCCAAATGCTTAGAAAGCGCATGAATCCCTATAGGCGTAGGGAAAAGCATTCAACAACCTGAATGTTAATGCATATTCGAGTGGCCCATGTTCAATCACACCTACTAGAGCCTTTTTGGCCAGGTTCTTGCGCAAAGAAAAGTTCGGCGCCGACGATTTCGGCTGTTTTTGTCGCCAAATGCTCAGAAAGCGCATGAATCCCTATAGGCGTAGGGAAAATCATTCAACAACCTGAATTTTATTGCATATTCGAGTGACACATATTCAATCACACCTACTAGAGCCTTTTCAGCCAGGTTCTTGCGCAAAGAAAAGTTCGGCGCCGACGATTTCGGCTGTTTTTGCCGCCAAATGCTCAGAAAGCGCATGAATCCCTATAGGCGTAGGGAAAAGCATTCAACAACCTGAATGTTAATGCATATTCGAGTGGCCCATATTCAATCACACCTACTAGAGCCTTTTCAGCCAGGTTCTTGCGCAAAGAAAAGTTCGGCGCCGACGATTTCGGCTGTTTTTGCCGCCAAATGCTTAGAAAGCGCATGAATTCATATAGGCGTAGGGAAAAGCATTCAACAACCTGAATTTTAATGCATATTCGAGTGGCCCATGTTCAATCACACCTACTAGAGCCTTTTTGGCCAGGTTCTTGCGCAGAGAAAAGTTCGGCGCCGACGATTTCGGGTGTTTTTGCCGCCAAATGCTTAGAAAGCGCATGAATCCCTATAGGCGTAGGGAAAAGCATTCAACAACCTGAATGTTAATGCATATTCGGTGGCCCATGTTCAATCACACCTACTATATCCTTTCGGCCAGGTTCTTGCGCAGAGAAAAGTTCGGCGCCGACGATTTCGGGTGTTTTTGCCGCCAAATGCTCAGAAAGCGCATGAATCCCTATAGGCGTAGGGAAAAGCATTCAACAACCCAAATGTTAATGCATATTCGAGTTGCCCATGTTCAATCACACCTACTAGAGCCTTTTTGGCCAGGTTCTTGCGCAGAGAAAAGTTCGGCGCCGACGATTTCGGCTGTTTTTGCCGCCAAATGCTCAGAAAGCGCATGAATCCCTATAGGTGTAGGGAAAAGCATTCAAAAACCTGAATAATAATGCATATTCAAGTGTCCCATGTTCAATCACACCTATTTGAGCCTTTTCGGCCAGGTTCTTGCGCAGAGAAAAGTTCGGCGCCGACGATTTCGGCTGTTTTTGCCGCCAAATGCTTAGAAAGCGCATGAATCCCTATAGGCGTAGGGAAAAGCATTCAATAACCTGAATGTTATTGCATATTCGAGTGGCCCATGTTCAATCACACCTACTAGAGCCTTTTCGGCCAGGTTCTTGCGCAAAGAAAAGTTCGGCGCCGACGATTTCGGCTGTTTTTGCCGCCAAATGCTTATGAAGCGCATAAATCCCTATAGGCGTAGGGAAAAGCATTCAACAACCTGAATGTTAATGCATATTCGAGTGGCCCATATTCAATCACACCTACTAGAGCCTTTTTGGCCAGGTTCTTGCGCAAAGAAAAGTTCGGCGCCGACGATTTCGGCTGTTTTTGCCGCCAAATGCTCAGAAAGCGCATGAATCCCTATAGGCGTAGGGAAAAGCATTCAACAACCTGAATGTTAATGCATATTCGAGTGGCCCATGTTCAATCACACCTACTAGAGCCTTTTCAGCCAGGTTCTTGCGCAGGGAAAAGTTCGGCGCCGACGATTTCGGCTGTTTTTGCTGCCAAATGCTTAGAAAGCGCATGAATTCGTATAGGCGTAGGGAAAAGCATTCAACAACCTGAATGTTAATGCATATTCAAGTGACCCATGTTCAATCACACCTACTAGAGCCTTTTTGGCCAGGTTCTTGCGCAGAGAAAAGTTCGGCGCCGACGATTTCGGGTGTTTTTGCCGCCAAATGCTTAGAAAGCGCATGAATCCCTATAGGCATAGGGAAAAGCATTCAACAACCTGAATGTTAATGCATATTCGGTGGCCCATGTTCAATCACACCTACTAGAGCCTTTTCGGCCAGGTTCTTGCGCAGAGAAAAGTTCGGCGCCGACGATTTCGACTGTTTTTGCCGCCAAATGCTTAGAAAGCGCATGAATCCCTATAGGCGTAGAGAAAAGCATTCAACAACCTGAATTTTATTGCATATTTGAGTGGCCCATGTTCAATCACACCTACTAGAGCCTTTTCGGCCAGGTTCTTGCGCAAAGAAAAGTTCGGCGCCGACGATTTCGGCTGTTTTTCGTGCCAAATGCTTAGAAAGCGCATGAATCCCTATAGCCGTTGGGAAAAGCATTCAACAACCTGAATGTTAATGCATATTCGAGTGGCCCATGTTCAATCACACCTACTAGAGCCTTTTTGGCCAGGTTCTTGCGCAAAGAAAAGTTCGGCGCCGACGATTTCGGCTGTTTTTGCCGCCAAATGCTTTAAAAACGCATGAATTCCTATAGGCGTAGGGAAAAGCATTCAACAACCCAAATGTTAATGCATATTCGAGTGGCCCATGTTCAATCACACCTACTAGATCTTTTTTGGCCAGGTTCTTGCGCAGAGAAAAGTTCGGCGCCGACGATTTCGGCTGTTTTTGCCGCCAAATGCTCAGAAAGCGCATGAATCCCTATAGGCGTAGGGAAAAGCATTCAAAAACCTGAATATTAATGCATATTCAAGTATCCCATCTTCAATCACACCTACTAGAGCCTTTTCGGCCAGGTTCTTGCGCAGAGAAAAGTTCGGCGCCGACGATTTCGGGTGTTTTTGCCGCCAAATGCTTAGAAAGCGCATGAATTCGTATAGGTGTAGGGAAAAGCATTCAACAACCTGAATGTTAATGCATATTCAAGTGACCCATGTTCAATCACACCTACTAGAGCCTTTTTGGCCAGGTTCTTGCGCAGAGAAAAGTTCGGCGCCGACGATTTCGGGTGTTTTTGCCGCCAAATGCTTAGAAAGCGCATGAATCCCTATAGGCGTAGGGAAAAGCATTCAACAACCTGAATGTTAATGCATATTCGGTGGCCCATGTTCAATCACACCTACTAGAGCCTTTTCGGCCAGGTTCTTGCGCAGAGAAAAGTTCGGCGCCGACGATTTCGGGTGTTTTTGCCGCCAAATGCTTAGAAAGCGCATGAATCCCTATAGGCGTAGAGAAATGTCAAACTATATGTGCTGCATATTGTTTAGGCTGTAGTGGGGTAGCCCACATGGGGTACAACCCAATTAGGGTTTACTACTTGTACTCCTGCATCCTGTTAGTTCATCCATTCCTGCTGCTAGATTCTGACATGGTATCAGAGCACTAAGGTCCGTAGGACCGTTTTTTTTCGGGCCCACCTACCGCTGCGGTTACCGCGCTACCCCACGTACCTGCCTGCCTTGCCTTGCCTTGTGACGTGCTGCACTATGCGCGCCGTCCAGCAGCCCTAGCGCTGCCTCCTGCTGCCTTAGGCCAGCGCGCTGCCCCTAGAGGCCCGTAAGGCCCACGCGCCGCCCCTAGAGGCCCGTAAGGCCCGCGCGCCGCCCCTAGAGGCCCGTAAGGCCCGCGCGCCCC